ATCAGATGTTCTTTGATGGTACTCACATCTTGAAATGCAATAAGGTTCTTGCAATCTTTGCAAGGATAAATAATCGTGTCACTATTCTCTTTCAACGTCGTTGCATGCTTCTCTACGGCTTTGATGAATTTGTCCACCTCATCACAGAAAAGAGCGTCGTGTCTTAACGAACCATACATCCAAGAGTTCCTGTTGTCCATCTTATAGAAACAAAACAACAAAAGAAAGAATATTACTCGAGAATAATTGTATATACCTGAGACACGCACCATGGTAGTAGAGGATAGTTAATTAATTGACTATTAATGCATAAATATTTTAAAATATAAATTAATTGGTTCAAATAAACAATTTCAAAGAAAACAATTAGCAACATTTAATATTTCATCCACTACCTTTCATGCAAACTCCATTCCAATTTCATGGTAGAGGATAATTAATTAATGGCCTATTTATCCATAACTAATTAAAAACACACATTATAGAAAGGAATCAAAATAAATATTAAATGATAATTAGTAGCCATGGTAGAGGATATTTTACACATTAGCAACAATTAAAATCTTACACATTCACCTACATGCAAACCCTAGTCACATAAAGAAAAAATTGAAAAACAAAAAAAACAAAATCCTAGATCTAGATCTAGATATAGGGTTTCATGACACATGCATCAAACTTCACTAATATTACACTAAAATCAACAAAGATGTACTAACAAAGGGTGCAATCTTACTTCCCTACCTAATTTACCCTAGTATAGTGAAAATTAGGGTCCAATTTCACTAATAACTAGCTCAAGCTCCATGGAAGAGAGAGAAAACCAAAAATCAAATTACTCACTAACCAACGAATTAAACTTCAAATAAAGAGTTGGAGAAGCATTTCCTTACCTTTTAGTGCCTCTCCACCAAAGGATTTGAGATCAAAACCTCCCCTCGTTGTAGAGCAATTTTTAGAAGGAGCCAAAGGCCTCCCAACCTTTTTTGTAGAAGAGTGTGTCCCGAGGTGGAAGAAGGGGTGGCTGCTATTTATTCGTGCGCCATCAGTAGGGGCGGCTGGTGATTCATCCGCCCCTACAGTCGAACAGACAGCCGCCCCTGCCCCTACAAATGGGCACTGCAGGGACGGCTGGTGATTGAGCCGCCCCTACAGATCAGCCCCAACTGTAGGGGCGGCTCAGGTTACCAGCCGCCCCTACAGTGCCATCTGTAGGGGCGACTGAGCTGCTGGGGTCCGAGGACGCCCACTATAGGGGCTCCCCCAACCCCAGCCGCCCCTATAGTAAAAACGCCCCCGTTCCTACTGTGCGAATCTGGCGTAGTGATATGGAGGTGAGGAAGAAGAAGGAGGTGCTGAGGCGCCTCGTGCCGAGCGGCAGCAGCGATGACGACGAGGTCGATGAGCTCCTTCTGCGTGCCGCCGGCTACATCGCGTGGCTACAGGCGCAGGTGACGGTCATGCAGTTCATGGTCGACGTGCTCGAGGACACGAAGCATTAATCATTTTTTTATCAGGCTTGAGAATTGAGATGACACATGTGTAATACACACCATATACATGATATTTACTTTTGTACTGGACCTCTTGGGTTCTTGTGGTTCTTTACTTCTTTATCTCTTTGTTTGATTGATGACGCCCCTGAGGAGGGATCGATCCTGAAGCTTGAGCAAGAGCCGCTTGCTGAACTGGATAACCCTTTTTTTCTTTCAAAAAGCTACCAACAATAGCTTTGCCGAGCATGTATTGATAAAGGAGTATAAAATATACAACACAACAACACAACACCACAAACCCTTCAAGAGATGGGCTTGGGCTAGATGTTACCGTTGTCTTGTGCATGATCACCAAGTCAGCTCATGCAAGAATTTCTTTCCGATGCATCCATCGTTGCCGCTCTAGACATCAAGAGTGGCATTGTTTTTTTATCCGCTGATCCTACTTCTCGCGAGTTGTTTCCAACTCTATGAAACCTCACCATCCCTAACAAACAAAGAGTTTGGGCTAACGTTGTGGCCATGCCTACTCCAGGTGGGTGTCGCTCTACATGTTAACAAACTCTGTGGCTATGTCTGTACCGCAAGGACATGTCAACTCATCGTTGACTACAAGATCTTATAGTTTGTGTGGTAAGATGCTAGTCCCATTTACCACAACTGTTGTTGTGTCTCTCCTGCTTCGATGCCTCTGAACCTCAAGTCTATGATCACGCCTTTGGTGGAGTCCTTGCGATCAGAGCTCAAAACCTTCATTGCAATTATTCGTCTAGAAGAAGTGATGCATCCCTTCAAGGAGGAGGCTTCTACCACCAAGTTATTGCTAGCGCGTGTGGCCAACCATTTGGAAAACATTCAGAGCCACATTTAGAGCATGCTTTCGTTGTTGACATGGACACATGGTCGAGCTCTTTGGTCCCTGTTCTCTGGCTCGGTGCTCTCTTGTATCATCGATCCTTTCTTCTCTTGTGGTAGCTTTTGAGCTTGTAGAGGGTGCCAAGGAGACCCTCATAGACCCCAGTGGCTCCAAGGGCAAAGTGGTGCGCATTGGCACCACGCTTCCTCCGAATAGGAAAGCACGCTCGTCGACTTCCTCCGCGCCAACAGAGACATCTTTGCGTGGAAACCCTCGGACATGTCAGGCATTCCGAGAGAAGTCACCGAGCATGCCTTGAAGATCAGGCCAGGCTCCATGCCGGTGAAGCAACGCCTGTGTCGCTTCGACGAGGAGAAGCACAGGGCCATCAACGAGGAGATTGCGAAGCTTTTGGCGGCCGGGTTCATCAAGGAAGTATACCACCCCGAATGGTTAGCCAATCCCGTTCTGGTACGAAAAAAGAGTGGGAAGTGGAGAATGTATGTCGACTACATGGGCCTCAACAAAGCGTGTCCAAAGGATCCTTTTCCTTTGCCACACATAGACTAAGTAGTCGACTCAACCTCAGGGTGCGAAACCCTTTCCTTCCTTGATGCATACTCCGGGTGCCATCAAATCGCGATGAAAGAGTTCGACCAGCTCACGACATCTTTCATCACCCCATTCGGATCGTTTTGCTACGTCACGATGCCGTTCGGTCTAAAAAACGCGAGGGCTACGTACCAACGTTGTATGATCAAATGTTTCGGGGACCTCATCGGACGAACCATTGAGGCTTACGTGGATGACATCGTGGTCAAGTCCAAACAGACTGACCAGGTCATAGCCGACCTAGAGCAGACCTTCGCGAAACTCTGAGCAAACAACATTAAGCTCAACCTCGTGAAGTGCGTTTTCGGGGTCCCAAGGGGTATGCTGCTGGGTTTTATCGTCTTCGAGCATGGCATCGAAGCCAACCCGGAGAAGATCTCAGCTATCATGAGGATGGTCCCGATTCAGAATATAAAGGGGTACAACGAGTTACAGGGTGCCTCGCCGTGCTCAGCCGCTTTATCTCACGCCTCGGCGAACGAGGTCTCCCCCTGTGGGGGGTACGACCTCGGATACCCACGGCAGACTACATGGGCTGTGCCCCAGGGGTGGTCCAGCCCACAAGACGAAGACTTATGGTGCACGGTACCGCTTGGCGTGTACCGCAAGACATCAAGGGCGATATCCTGAAGATACTACCGCAAGACACCAAGTTATTGCTAGCGCGTGTGGCCAACCATTTGGAAAACATTCAGAGCCACATTTAGAGCATGCTTTCGTTGTTGACATGGACACATGGTCGAGCTCTTTGGTCCCTGTTCTCTGGCTCGGTGCTCTCCTGTATCATTGATCCTTTCTTTTCTTGTGGTAGCTTGCACGCCTGTTGACTCGTTGTTTGAGGACACATGTGTGTGAAAGCTATTGATTCTGTCATACACGACGTGACCACAAGTATGTCTGTTAAGGAGATTCACAAATAGACGGACCAAAGACTTTGACATAGAACTTGACCAAAAGATACCCCTGGTGCATGCCATTGAGGGTGGCCTCCGGAACCTCCATTGTTCATATGATCAAACAAATGCTACTGTAAGTTCTATCTCAACATGTAAGACATCTACATCATCTTTTACTAACTATCCACATAATCTTTCACTAATAATAATCATGTAATGTCACTAAGTTCCAATCCCTTAATGTAAGCTATCCATGTCATCTCTACTTTATTTCATTTCAAATTCTTCACAATTGCCACAGCAACACGTGAGGTATCTTCTAGTTTATTCCAAAATCTCACACAATCTAGGCAACCAAACAAGCTAGACAGACTCCTCCATGATAGATTGAATTGGTGAAAAATGGTCTGAAATGAAGGAAGAGCATCTCCATGAACCATCTCAAAATGTAAGACAACCTGCACAAATTAAATGCAACAAGCTTGAAATGAAAGGGAAGCTAATTACGAACCCTGGCGTGCTTTCTTCAAAAATCACCACCCTCCATGAGCTTCATGGAATCACGCTGAGAAGCCGGTCGGAGGAGGAGGATGGGGGGTTTTGTACTGTACATCTTCACCACCGAGTTGATATAAGAAAGCGACAATGACGATGTCTGTTTTCACCGTGTTCTAAACTCTAGGTGATGTGATGGAACTCAGAACCGATTATGATAAATTTTTTCACCTCCGGCTCCAACCACGAACTGCCGGTGAAAATGGGCTCTCCTTTCACTGTAGGTCTGTGGTTGGAACAAGCCGGCTGTGATACACATTTTCACGGTCGAGTCGGGCATCCACTAGGCTCACCCACTTTAGAATCAGCAGTGAAAATGCATCATGGTCAGTTCGCTGGAAACCGGTAGTGATGGACTGCATGGAAATGGTTTCTGCAGTAATGTTTGTTAAATCTATCACATATATATTTATGCGAATTTTCTACTATTCATATATTTGATTTAACGTTTAAAAAAATGCTCGCATTGAAATGCGTGCAAATTTATGAGGCTAAGGAGTACAAGTATTTTTTTTTTCTTTTTTCTCGAACAGTAAGTATTTTTTTTCTTCAATACACATACATATATATATTTGCTAGTTAATATCAAAATACTGAAGTATACATATTGTAGATATAGAAGCATAGAAGCATAGTGATAGAAAATTGATACATGGGACGAGGCGAGCCTGATGCCTCGGTGGCTTTGTAGCTGTCGCAGTTTGCCGGCTGGAACGACAAAAGCGATCTGCGGACGTCGTGCAGGACGAGGTAATTCTTCTGCATGACGTTGCCGATAATAGACAGGCTGGGAGACTTCTGGACGACCCAGCACACTACAACGTCGTTCACTTCCTTGACGTAGTTTGCCACCGGCAAGGCCATGTCAGCGCCGCCGTCGAAATGCAGCACCATCGCCGGGACAGCGCTCGAGAGCAGCCTGCCATTGCTAGGTTTCTGGTAGCACGCCTCGTATCCGTCCCTATCCTCTACCTGGGTAAGGTTCGTCTGCGACAGGAACGCCGCCTTCGCCTCCGTGTACGCCGGCTCAGCAAGATACGTCAGCGTCGTGCCGGAGTCGAACACGACGCCATTGGGTCCGCCAACGCCGGCCGTCGTCGCCGAGCCGATCGTTATGCTACGCAGGTTCACGGCGTAGAAGGTGGTGGACCCGAGGAGGCCGGTGGACTGCACGCCGGCGCCTGTCATGGTGGCTAGTGAGCCGAACAGCAGAGGGCTGGCCTTGGAGGCGTCACGGGTGAGGCAGTACATGAAGGTGTCGACGTGGAGCTGGGAGACGAGGGACAGGGGCCCGCGGCCGAGCCCGACGAGGCCGGAGCCGGTGCCGTAGTTGCCCTCCGACGCGGTGGTGCAGCCGAAGCCGACGCCCGGCACCGCTTCGCCGCCGAGAGTGAAGGTCTCGCTCCCGAGGAACCCCTGCGTGTACTGGGGACGGTCGCCGCCGCCGCCAAGGCCGTAAGAGTACGTGTAGTCGCACTCGGCGCCGCCGGCGGCACACCGTGCGACAGACCGCAGGGCGGTGCACAGACGGTGCGAGCACGGGAGCTTGGTGAACGAGGACGACTTGTCGGGGTGGTACGAAGGGGAGGAGGAGCCCCACGCGGCGCCGGCGCCGCACTTGGTCCAGATCAGGTCGCTGCCGGTGTCGGCGAGGGCTGTCAGCTCCTGTGGCGGCGTGCCGATGGAGAACTCCATGTCGTAGGCGCCGACGACGCCGTCCATCCACAGGGGTACTGTCTCTGTGTTACTATTACTGTCCAAGTGGCTCGCCGAGGACTGCTTGTCGACTTGGGACCGGGCGGCGAGGAATGACAGCCGACGGTGAGACTCTTGAGCGGCCTGCGTGAAGTTGATGGCGGTGGTATCAGTGCGGGCACGGCGGATCATGGTGCCGCGGAAGCCTCGGCTTTCAGCATCGGCCGGAAGAGCGGGAACGACGAGGAAGAAGATCATGAACGACGCGAGGATAATAACTATGTGATTAGTAGTCATTTTGGATTTTCACAAGACGTGCCGCTTGTGCTTATTCCTTGATGTTTGCGTGGAGCATAGATGGATATATAGCAACGAGCACGTCGACTGCATTGTGGATATTGCTGAGCAAATACTTGGAAATTTCTCTTCAAGAGCCGTACGGCCCTCTTGTTGCACCCACGAACAAGAAGAACTTCTTGTTGCATTGCATTGTTTCAACCGCGCGACCTAGGTCGTCGCTGCAATGGATGAGCCTCGGGTTTTTCGTCGCCTACACAGCGGGGGCTGCATCCTCATTCGTCCGATCCCCAGTGTCGGCTACTACTTGAGCACTAGAATAAGCTAAGTTTATGCTCGGTATTTCTTAGCATGGTATCTTGCAAACTTTTTTTTTCTTCTGTGTAGCCTCGATCGCGTAACAACGATGATTTAATATAAGAAAGTACTAAATACATCTTTCGTACGTGTAATAGATGGACGTTGGTCCGTTCTAAAAAGACAAATGTTATCGCCATTCTGTTACTGAGTGTTTGGTTTAAGGATTTAGTTGATATGATCAATCATTTTTTTTACTTCTCATTTCTTGTTTGGTTTGGTAGAATTAAATGAGTTGATCCATTAACGTCTAAATTTTAATAATGTTGGGTATAGGGCGTCCGTCCGTTCGGGCGGTGCCAATAGTGGGCCGCGACGGTGCTCCGTCGTGCCGCCTCGGCGAGCCGCTCTCTACTGTGCTTCCCTCTCCATCGCGCCTCCGCTACGCCAGCCAGCATCTCCTCAGTGCCAGAGCATATGGCAGCTCGTCTTCCTCCCTCTCCACCGTGGGCTTCTCCAGCGCACGGACCTGCCGTAGCCTTTTTCACCAGAGCAGCGAGCTCCGCGCCACCGGTGAGACCTACATCGATCGGTGAACTCCACGCGCCGACGAGCCTCCATTCCCAAGTAGCAAGGAGATGTTGTGCTGAACGTGCATGTTGCAGACGTATGTTTGAAGTGTTTCATATGTTTCAGAGGTATATTGCAAGTGTTTCATATAGATGTCGCAAAAGTTGATCTGGATGTTGCATATGCTACAAGTGTTTCATAGGCATGTTGCAAGCGTTTGTTCAAAGTGTATCATCTATTTCAGACGTATGTTGCAAGAGTTTTGATCTGGATGTTGCATGTGTTTCACACATATGTTGCAAGAGTATGTTCCAAATGCTTCAGCTGTTTCATTAATTCTTATGTTGCAAGTGTTTTATCTGGATGTTGCATATGTTTCACACATGTTGTAAGTGTATGTTCCAAATATTTCATCTACTTCAGACTTATGTTGCATTCAAGTGTTTTATATTTGCAAGTGTTTTGTGTTTCAGAGGCATGTTCAGAGAGTCATGGGGGCATGGTTCGGGCGCTGAGAGAAAGGGCGCGGCGAGCCAGGGGCCGGCAGATGGGGCGCACGGCGTGCCTAGGTCCTGCGGACGGGCGTGCTCGTCCTCATCGAGGCTCACAGGTTCTGCTCGTGTGGAGAGAGGAGGGGGTCAGGGGAAGGAGTGGCGGGCGCAGCAGGGGTGCACGTGTAGGAGCGTTGCAAGGCGGACGGGAGCAGAGCGAGGCAGACGGGGGACGGACGTGCATGTGCAGTAGCGATACGACGTAGCGGCAGGCGCGGGCGGGCGGGCTAGGGCAGCAGCATGTGCGGGGCATCCGGACGTGCTCGTCTACGCCGGACGTCCGGGCGCTAGTAAGTCCCAATTTTATAAGCTAAAAACTAATTGAGTTCATAAAAATATATATATATATATATATATATATATATATATATATATATATATATATATATATATAGAGAGAGAGAGAGAGAGAGAGAGAGAGAGAGAGAGTGTCATAATACACCATCTCGTGGTTCTCAAGCCAAACAAATCATTGGATACGCGTGAAGCCCACCAATATAGAATATATGTCGATGTGGTGATGATTACGCCAGCTAGCAATAAGCTGCTGAATATATAACATAAGCATGCATAGTATCATTTAAAGGTCATATATACATGGTTTGGCACGGTACAAAACTCGTGCATACGTGGAATTATCTGAACGCCGAACGTTGTTAGAGTGTACAGTTAGCTAGATCCAGACCAGAACCAATCTACTAACTAAAGAACACGGAATCGTAATCACCCTAGAAGAAAATATACAAACGAGAACAAAACGGAGGCACGATCTTTTTTTAATAGGGTTTGGTGATGTGTCTACGCCCTCGGGACTAGACTACATGCGCTCCTCCCATAAAACAATAGCTACACCGACATTCGTGCATTCCCGCGGTCTTACTGTTGCCCAAACCAACAAACAAGTCGTCTCATAGTTAAAACAGTGGTTGCCTCATATTTATGTCTCCCTAGGACGCAAAATTCGACTACAACTCTATCCTAGCCCCTAATATAACTCAAGTCCAATTGTAACCGTATTTACACATATTCGACACATATCTAACAAACTTCACCTCGACGAATATGCATGCCACCTTAAAGTCGTCCATGCCTAAACCTCCGTGTACCTGAATTGAGATGTTACCTTTGCAGCTCCACAAAAGCTGTCCAACCAGTCTGATCATAGACCCATTGCAAACAAGAGACTCTGCTATTCTTACAACTCCATACTCCATGACTCCACCTGCAGCTGTGCACTCTTCTCTTTTATCATCATAGTATGTGTTGAGTATAATTAATTCCTCTACAACCCTGACATGCCTGACTTCCTGAAGCACATCTGCTCCCTATTAAGAATCGCACGAGCTAACTGAATCTAACACCATACTTGAACCTGAATGTGCACGTGACACCGAATTAAGCAGCATGCAATCATATTTTGCCAAGCCATGCTGCTGCCCATCTGTATAGTTTTGTGGTTATGATGTTGTGGAAGTGTATTGAGTAGTTGCAATGTGTTTGCAGCCCATATGTATGTGCCTAAGGTTCACCAGGGAATGAGGCAGCTGTAAGTTAATTAGGTTACTGAACATTGGTACTATCTGGTTCTGCTGATGTATAGATGTTTCTATGATGTTAACTCAATCATGGAAAGTTATATGCTCGCATGTAAGTGCACAGTAGTGCACTTGAAGCATGTTTTGTATGTGCCTTGCCTAACTTATTTGCTTTGATCAATTCTACATAAAAGAAAAGTCCAAGGTTCGGACGATCCGTGAAAACGACGACTCCTGTGCGCCTCCACTGTCGAGACAAGCGTTTCTGAGCCAAGACCACATGAAAACTGCATATCACATGGATTTCATGTGGTCCTCCAAAACGTGTATACAAAACCATATGGGAAACTCCCAGAGCTCCTAGGAGGGAGGATGCCCCTTGGGTATATTAGGGGTTGAGGGTTCGGCTGGCTCAGACCATAGGTGAAGTGCTATGAAACTACTAATTTTTTAGCGTTCTTGCTAGGACTGCTCCGCCTGACCTCGGTTCCCCCTACCCGACCTCGTTTGCCGGCCGACAGCCTACCGCGGCCTGCTTTGGCTAGCTGCAGCTGGCTGCCTGACCGCCATGGCAGGCCAACGTGCGGCCATGGCTGGCTTCGATCGGCCGGATGCCTCTCTCGTGGCTGCATACGCTACATGGTCATCGTGGCCGGACTTATCAGCGGTTATAAAAATATCGCGAGATCAATTCTGCATAATTCATTCTCCCTTATAAAAAGAAATTTGATCCTCACCTGGAATCTGCCAACCTTCTCGCATTCTCTCATGTGATTTAGAGGCTAGAAAGGGTAGAACTTCATTGGTCGCTTTGAGTTCTTTGATCGATGGGTGGTCCCTTGTGAGGCACACCTGCTGCTTCTCTTTTGGAGAAATTACCCCACTCTTGCTAGAACAATGAAGAATGAGGAGATTGATGACATAGGCCTGATCGGTAAAAAACCCAAAGGTCAACAGAATGGTGGCTGCACTCGTACATGGCTTAGAGATGCCTTGATTAAGCATTATACAAGGGCATACGTCCTCTCTCTCTCTCTCTCTTTTTGGTTGACGCTATTCCCAAATTCAAATCAGAAAATCAACTATAACTTGCTTCCCCTTCTTGAAGATTTTGAAAAGGTTAGTAAATAAAGTTGGGATATGGTCTCTTGGCAAATCTATATTAGGAGCTGAGCATGTGCTGCCAAAGGGTGGATACAGGAACACCAACCGTTGTGGGATGCATGCTATTTCTCCAGTTGTGGTCTTGGAATCATCTGCCTCTTGGTAGGTCAACACGTGTGAGCACCCTCATATGTATTGGAGAACCATGAAACATGCAATCTTGTGGTCGGGTCAAAAACTCTGTATCGAACCCCATTCCCTGGTCATTAAGTAAGTTCTCAACGAACTTGTTTCAATACGACGTCACTATTCTGTATCGAACCCCATTGATTCTCTTTGGTACAGGGAATTTGTTCATCAAGAGTGGCATCAATCAAGGGATCCTACCCTACACGAACATGATACCCTTCTTTCAGAGGGTGTGGGAGCTGGGAGGCCTGATTTCATTTCTTTGTTCAAATAAAAGGTCGTACGTTCGTCGATATTCCTTAGTAGCTCGTACGTTCCAATAGTATAACGATGTATCATGCTTTAGCTTGCAGGTGCAATCCAATGCGTCCATGAGTGACGAGTTGAGACAGGTTGCAAATGGCTTCAAGTTAAGGGTGAAGTCATATACCGGTTATGATGTGAACGGATATTGCTTCCACACGTCAAGACACGAGCAGACTCGGCCCTGTCGGAAAACCACCAACAACCAAGTTTTTACGCCGGGCACTAATGGCGTCGAATACTACGGAATAATTGAGGAGATCTATGAACTTGAATATGAGAGCCGAGTACCTCTTACTCCTGTCATATTCAAGTGCCACTGGTTTGATCCTGCACGAACGAGACGGACCCCTCATCTTGTCTAGTCGAGATTAGGCATGATTCCGTCTATAAAGGAAAAGATGTCTATATTATGGCTCAACAGGCCGTGCAGGTGTATCATACGCCATGT